ATGCCAATGCAACTGCCACCAGAGGCTGGCTGGTTACCTGTGAAGTGCTTCTTCGCACCGATGTTTTGCTGTTATGAAAACATCCCCACTCTACTAATGGAGGATGATAACAAGCGGAGAGAAGACAGCCTACTGCGAAACACCAAGAAAGTATTGAGGAGTAAGCTGGTTACACCTTTAATAGTAGTAGTAGTAGTTGCAGGTGAGCAGGAAAGGTGAGATAGGAAAATTTGACAAAGAAATAGAACAAAACATTTTTGGTTTGTTTTTCACACGCCGATTTCTTTTTTGTAAGTTTGAAGTATTAAATATGTGAATCAATACCATTTTGTACACAATTCTTCCACTGTTTCTGGTTGTCGGCAATGTCTTCAAGCGTGTTAAGCCATCGGCACTCCTTATCTTTGGGTCCCCAACCTGGAAGACGTACGGGTCCAACCGCGGCTAGACGCGATTTCATGTGCTGTCGTCAAGTGGAAGGCTGACCACCACGCGGTAGACGCTCAGATGCCATGCGTAGGACGTGACCGAGCCAACTCAATTGGTAAAGCAAAACCAGTTTGTGGAAGAGTAGACTCGCATTCCCCAAGATGCGACGTCGAAAGTCATCACTGTGAACATGATGTTGCCACCGAACACGAGCAATCATCCTTAAACAACCACTGTCGAAGGCAGTAAGACGACGCATGTCCTCAACGCCAATCGGCCAGGACTCGCTTCCACACATCAACTGATGCGCTGGAAACGCGGTCCTTTAGTGAGAATGAGATGTCGCGAAGACGCCGCAAGTGCCTCAAGTTGACAAATGATGATCGAGCTTTAGCGAGACGAAGAGCAACTTCTTTGTTGATAGTGCCATCAGCAGAAACACAGCTCCCAAGGTAGACGAAACTATCTACCTGTTCAAGTTGTGAACCTTCGAGAGTGAGCACAGGAGCAGGTGAAAGCCAATCCTTGAGCAGTACTTTACACTTCGATAGGGCGAAGCTTATGCCATACTTAGATGCTTCAACCGCCAAACGATCCATAATGAGGTGCATACCCAGAGGATCGTCACCAAGTAAGGCGATATCATCAGCCTAATCTAAGTCGGTCACGCGCTTACCCGGTAGAAACCCTAGGGCAAAATGTTGGAAATCTTCTAGAGCACTTGATAGAACGTCTTCGATGGAATGGGGACACAGGGCAGCCCTGTCGCATACTGCCATTGACAGCGAATGGTGAGGAAAGCTTGCCGTAGACCCTCACATTGTGTGGTGGTGGTAGTAGCTGGTGGGCTAGGCAGAGGTGACCGACCGCGGCGTAGGCAGACAGTGGGGAAATCGCTTTCCCCCGACGTTGGATGACCACGATTGTGCGAGCCGCGGAGAGGAAACAGAATTGACCCAGCCTTGTGTGAACAACGCACAGTCTAGTCACGGACAGAAACAAAGGGTATTGCCTCGAACAGCCACGTGCAAATGGGGCGTGTCAGACTACGATCCCACGACACGGAGTGCGACGCCAGCCGGTCCATTGGTTAAGCTATGGCGACGGGTAACGAGAGAAGAGAGTACGAACCACGCAAGTCGATCATAATCAGGCGAGCCAGACGGACAGAAGAAAAATTGGCACAGCCAAACGTGAGTCAAGTTGGACGTTGCTGCAGACAGAAAAGAAGTGCATTGGACCCGGTAGAGCGGACGAATATCGCACACGTACCAATGGGCATGGGCAGATGATCCGAGAATGAAGTGTCATCAACCATTATGCTCCATAAATGTTGTTTCGCTTTACTATTAACAGATTATGATTGCCGCCATGATGCTCGGGAAGAGTGAGGGCTTACGGCAAGCTGTCGTCGCCCTTTAATATCTCCAGCGGTGTGAGACAAGGATGCCCGCTGTCACCTTTCCTCTTCAACTTCGCTATTGATGAAGTCATGGAAATCACGTTTACAGGACACGACTTATAAGATGTGGACCTGCTCCCAAGAGAACGACTTCTTGAGTTAGAGTATGCTGATGATATTTCCCTAATCTGTGACAGTTCACAAACGTGCCAAGCGGCACTGGACAGATTAGCACTAGCTGTCCGTCACTTCAGGCTTTACTTTGCACTCTCGAAGTGCAAAGCTTCCTCCAAGATTGGTCTGGACCGCCTCCTACGCTGACCCTTGGGGGGGATCAGCTAGAAGTCGTTCAGAAATTCAACTACCTGGGAAGTTGTATCAGCGCCCGTAGAATTCAAGATGAGGTCACGAACAGTATAGCAAAAGCTCGAAGTGCTTTTACTAATCTTCGCCACCTATGGCGCCAGTGCGACATCATCTTGCCCTGAAGGGTAGAGTGTACAATGCAGCGGTACGTTCGACCTTACTGTACGGTTGTGAAACCTGGCCCCTTAAAGTAGCGGACCTGAAGAGGCTAGTTACGTTCGACCACCGGTGCCTTCGCAATTTAGCTCACATCTGGTGGGAACACCGCGTGAGCAACGAGTGTGTTCGACGCCTTGTTTACGGCACAGGAAAAGGAACTGAACCGCTCAGCACCGTTATTTCACGCACCAGGCTCCGATGGCTCGGCCACGTGTTACGCATGCCAGCCCATCGACTCCCACGACGTGCGCTGTTTGCGCACCGGGGGTGTGGATGGAAGAAGAGGAGGGGTGGCCAAGCGATGACTTGGTCGAGAGGAATGAAGGCCCTCACTTCGAAGCTGTCTCGGCTCCCCGGTTGGGGTCCGAAAGACGATGAACACGTTTGGCTGGATACACTTGCTGATACGGCTAGGAGCCGACCTCAGTGGCGTTCATGCTGGGAGTTTTTTTTTGTCCCACCCCATTCCTCTTAGCCTCGCGCTCCAACCACAATCTCACTATTTAGCCTCATATAATTTTGCATAGTAATTTTTTGGATGCACAGTAGCCGGCTGGTAGCTTACCGGAACGACGCCCATCCGTTACCGGTAGCTCAGCCGGTTTGCATCAGTTGCATTTGTCTCTTTTCTATGTATTGCGGCACAGTAGCTGAGGTGTTCCCCACCTCTAGCTAACGTGTATAATGATGGTGCCAAGAGGATATTGTTTTGCTTCTCGAAGGACGTACTCCAATGACAACAGCAAACGAAAAAGTGAACCTACCATAAGCCCCAACAGTGCCCAATGTGTTACTATATAGTACCTTGGGGACAAAGACAGACTTGTAGGGTACACCGTTCCATAGAGACGATCTATCTACTGAATCCAAAGTGATTCGACTGCCCCAAAACACCCCGTACCTTGATCTTTGATAGACGTGACAGTAAAAGTGATATCGTATGCGACCACTGAACACTTGTGATACAAGTTAGCCCTCCTTTCTCCGCGTTAGTGGCGAGGTTGAAAGAGTGCGCACTTGTGCTTCGGTAAAGAGGGCAAAGATGTCATCATCATCATCATCAACAGCAGTACATCAGCCATTTGAACTGATGCCTCGCTGCCATACAACCATGAGGACCTACGAAATAAAGAATAAGAAGAGGGAGAGAAGGGGGACTTACCTGAAAACCTTAATGCCCTAAGCAAACATTCAGGGTCAAGGCGCCTACACCTTGTGTAGACAACATATCCGTCACAAACAGCTGGCTATCGTGCAAAGATAAGGCGGCATCGGCGAGACAGCTTCCTTGCGGCTTTCACTGCCCCGCGTCATAATCAGCAATTACTCCGTAGATAACTCAGCACCAAACACACGTTAAAAAGGCAGTCTGACTAAGGGAGAGCAGCAGACGCGCCACTGGTGTCTACTGCGAGGCATGTCCTGTAAAGTCTCGAGTCAAGCACAAGGTGAGTCACGTGGACTCCAGGCCAGAGGGCGAGATGGACCAACGGTTCCCAGTTTGGTCGTCAGTGACTTCATTTCCCGTTGCCAAGTCAACTTCTGTCCACCTCGAGCCTTGCGCAACCCTACACCTGGCAGACTAAACAAGGCCCTCCTAGGTAAGCGGTGAGCAGGCATACGTAGCACGTGCCCGAGCCAACGCAACTTATTCAGTGATATCTGTTGTTCTAGATGTTAACTGTACACTAGTAGTTGGTATTTAAGTTTCCCTCCGCAGCATCCCAAGCGGATGTACGTAGGCTAGAATATGGCAGAGGTGCCCAAACCCATGCATAATCTGGAGATCGAAGCCCAGACATAGAGATTGTAAGCCGTTTGACTGAAACCACTACGACGGATCGCTAAAGAAGAGACAGGCCAGACAAATGCTACAAATGGCCCATCCAAAACACTGGATTCACCCTTGTTTGCTGGCATCAGACAAAGATACCAAACCACAACATCACAAGATATTAGGACCTACACAGTAGGGCCAATTAACGACTGAATTGAAAAAGTTGCTGATTTCGTAAACAAAAATAGAACAAACATGTCACTGTCTGAGGGGTTTCCGGTAAATGAACAAGTATACTACTCTGAAATAGGAGTTTGGTAAAGAGAAAAAGCATAAATCACATCCAACGTGAGCGGCATGGGGAGTAACAATGCGTGTACCATATGTACAAGGGTATAGATCACAAGTCGCAAGACATGGCTGTTTCCTCGAAGGTGCTAAGTAATTCGCTCACAGTGAGTGAGGGCGATGATAAGCGTAAAAAGAACGCTACGTGTCGTTCGACATGCTCAACGAAATGAGGCGTTTGAACACGGTCGGATGGTCGCAGATGAGGATACAAGCGACTGTGTTCAAAACTCTCCGATATGGTCTCCAGCGTTTTAGTGAAGATTTATGCAAGACAATAGTTGAGTGCTGTTTGTGCTTGGATGCGGTCTCAGAGAGAATGTGATAGAGAGAACAGTGGCATGTATGCGACATCTAGTAAGTGTAGGTGGTGTCCTCTGTGATCACTGAGGAATGAGCATGTGCACCGATCGTGATGGGAAAGAGATCAAAAGACATCCCCAAAGGAAATAGCCTGAAAGGGGGTGGAGATTGTTTGAAGAAATTTCGAGGGCCAGTGCACGCTTCCTTGAGCTCACTTCACACATAGACAGCATCACCAGGTGGCTTTACGTATCCAGCTAGTATAAGCAGAAAGTCGACCACAGTCCAGATTCCTAAACCGCCAAAACTGAACAATTTTCCCAGTCCTTCCATCCACATACCCAAATAGAAACGGTCCACACCAAAGCCTCCGAGAAACAGGCTCAATAACACGGCGGTCCAGTAACGTTTGCCGGAAGACCAGTTGCACGGCAGCATCCGTCGAAAAACGCGTCGACCCATACACAGTGTGTAAGGCATCGGTTCACAAAGTGTTTCATAAAAACTTCGGGCCACATTTGGCTGGCGGCAGTGAGTTCGGCCGCGACAAATCACCTCGTAATCACCAAGCTGATGGCAATATTGACATACAAACTGTTTCTCCATTGTATAGTTTGTGCGCTCACTGATGAAATTCGCATCGCTTGTGTTCGTATCGACAGAATCCGCGGCTGATGAGTCGGTCGTTGGCCTACAGTGAACAAAGTTAGAGGGCCGACAGATTACGGTAACTGTGGAGCCGTATACACAAGACTCGTTGAATTCACAAGTTAAGCAATAAGCAGGCAGATCAACGCACTGATACATCCAGGGAGGACAAAGTAGGCGAATACGAGCAGCTTCCGCATCCACCAGCGGATTCGACGTGTTCTGCAACTCCGAAATGGACCATCTTACATCGTATAGTGTCCGAGTGGAGCGCGTGGGTGACAGCGGTTCCGTCGGCTTAGAGATGACGGCTGATGGTTGATTCGTCACAGAGTCCGCAGTAGAAGAGGGATGAATCGCAGAAAAAATGTACACAATTGATATCCATAGCATCAGGTGTAAGCAGAATCTGTAAAAGAAAAGACCAGAAGTGCCTTGTACTATTTCAAATAATAACAATTACGCTCAGCAGTAGTGACGACAATAGCAGTTACACCTACCTACTCTAGACAGATGCGTTGTAGGATGGACGAATATCGACAAGGAAAAGATGAGAGAAAGCTGACACGATCAGTTGTAAGCGCGTTTGAAACAGGAAAGAAAAGCAACTAAACGTCAATAAGAAGTGTTTGCCCAAAAACATTACTGGATGGCAGGTGGAACCAAAAACAAAGGCCTACAATATGGACTAATCCAAAAGAAAAAATTGCCATAAATAGCAACACGCCTCACAGCATCACTGATCGTTCATGGTGAACATGGGGCCCAGCTTCGGTGATGAGACTCTAAAGAACGATCGTTAAAGACGGCAAAGGATAATGAACAACAACTACGTAAATACATCCTTGGTCGTTTGCTTAGCAAGATATTAGTATGAGGCGGCCTAAGCAGTGACACAGATGTCAAATGTGAAAAACTGCCGAAACAATGGCGGCATCCGAAAGGTTCTGTGTCTAACGTCTGCCTGCCTGGAATGAATCACTTGGAAACCTTCAAATCACACTGTTGCTCCCTGCAGCACGGGGGAAGGGGATTTTCATCCGGCTGTAACGCCGCATATACAAGGCAACAATAACAGCCCTTCTCCTCTATGTGAATGATGCTTAGCGCCCTTGATTTGAGAACCTGAGGTGCCAAGGAGTCGATGATCATCGTTAGTGTCGAATGACACCAGCGTGACTGCAGTGACAATTTGAACACGTGACAGTCAGGCGGTCATCATCATCATCACTAGACGTTAGCTGGAGGTGGAAAACACCTCAGCTATTGTGCCGCAATACAAAAGACAAGAAAAGGAAAACAAACAGTGGCACGCCCGCTGAGTCCCCAGTAACGGATGGACATCGTTCCGGAGAGCTAACAGCTGGCTGCCTAACAAGTGAGATCGTGATTGGAGGGGGATGCTAAACAGGAGGGGGATGGACAAAGGAACTCACAACACAAACGCCATTGGGGCCGGCTCCTAGCCATATCAGCAAGTGTGTCCAGCCAAACGTGTTCACCGTCCTTAGGACCCCAGCCAGGCAGTCGGGATGCACCAACCGACGCCAACTTCGAAGTGAGGGTTTTCATTTCTCTCGACCAAGTCATCACTTGGCCTCCCCTCCTCTTCTTCCAACCGCACCCCCAACGTGCAAACAATGCACGTCGCGGGAGTCGGTGTGCTGGCATGCGCAACACGTGGCCCAGCCATCGGAGCCTGGTGCGTGATATAATGGTGCTGAGCGGTTCACTCGCTCTTCCTGCACCAAATACGCGACGTCGAACACGCTCATTGCTCACGCCGTGTTCCCAACAGACATGAGCTAAGCTGCGAAGGTAGCGATGATCGAATGTGACGAGCCTCTTCATGTCTGTCGACCTGATGGGCCAGGTTTCACAGCCATATAGGAGAGTTGAACGGACGGCTGCGTTGTAAACGCTGCCCTTCTGGGCGAGAGTAATGTCGCGTCTGCGCCACAGGTGGCGAAGATTGGCAAAAGCACCTCGAGCTTTTGCTATGCGGTCCGTAACCTCATCTTCAATCCCACGGGTGCTAATATACCTGCCCAAGTACTTGAATTCCTGAACGACTTCTAGCAGATCACCACTAAGCGTCAGCACAGAGTTGGGTTCCTGCCAATCTTGGAGAAGTACTTTGCATTTCGATGGGGCAAAGCATAGCCCAAAACGATTGACAGCCAGTGCTAATCGGTCCAGTGCTGCTTGGCATGTTTGAGAGCTGTCACAGATTAGGGCAATATCGTCCGCATACTCCAAGTCAAGAAGTCGCTCATCAGGAAGTAGCTCCACACCATCTAGGTCGTGTCCAGCGAACGCTGTTTCCATGACTTCCTCAATAGCGAAGTTGAAGAGGAAAGGTGACAGCGGGCATCCTTGTCTCACACCGCTGGTGATACTGAAGGGTGGCGAGAGTTTGCCATAAACTCTCACCCTGCCCGAACTATGTGCGTACAGCGCTTTGATAATGTTTACATATTTATCAGGCACATCTTTCCTCAGCAGACAGTCCCAAAGGGCACATCGATCGACTGAGTCGAAGGCACCTTTTATGTCAAGAAACACGACAACGGTGGGTCGCCAATAAATATGGCGGTGTTCCAACACTTGACACAATGTGAAGATGTGGTCGATGCAGCCCCGACCTCGACGAAATCCGGCTTGCTCTTCACGAATCTGGTTTTCACGAGTGCCAGCCTGGGGAGAATGACAGAGGCAAGCAATTTAGAGGCAAGCGAAATCAGACTGATCCCTCTATGATTGCTGCATTCCAAACGGGCGTTTCCCTTGAAAATTGGGACAATGACGGAGCGGTTCCAGTCTGTCGGGACTGTCTCCTGCTCCCAAGGTTTTACTAGAAGCTCGTGTAGATCATCTACTAGAGCAGGTCCCCCGAATTTGAAGAGGGCTGGGGGAATTCTATCTGCTCCTGTGGCCTTATGCAATTTCAACAGCGTGGTCTCACGTTCGACGTCTGCGCGTGAGGGCGGATCCGAGGAGACGGCTCATGGAGAAGGGCGCTCAATGCCCCAAGAAGAAAACGATAACTCAGGTTGATTAAATTGCATAGCAAAGTGAACAGCCCAACGCTCCAAGCGTTTTGACAAGCTTTGGATCGGCTGCCCACTCTCGTCGCGTATGGTCTCGCTAACACCAGGTCTCCTGCTGCCTGTTTCCCGTATCAGACGGAATAACTTACGATGATTACCAACGGCAGCGGCTGTTTCCATCTCAGAGGCACGATGAGACCACCAGGTTTCGCGGTCCTTCCTAAGGCTAGCACTTAGTTTTGCCCTGAGATTTTTGCGAGCCTCATTGTATTCGCTTCCAGCCGGAATACGTCGGCGAGCATCCATAAGTTCCATAGACTGTGTAGAGACCCAATATCCGGTATGGTAATTTGCTTTGCCACATGAAGACATGCCTGCTAACAGCAACGCTTGACGAATATGCGACCAGTGATCTTCAACGGTGTTTAGTGGGCGCTTACCCAGCCCAGATGTCAGCGCACTATGGTATACATTCAGAACATCTGGCTTCGCCAGCTGGCTGGTGTCAATCCGTTCACATCGACGTTGCGGACGTCCACCGAAACGCACCAGGAGGTCGGCACAGACAAGTGCATGGTCAGAATCCACGCTCGTGCTCCAAATGGAGCGACAATTTTGGACACAGCCTCTCCAGCGGTAACTGATCGCGATATGATCGATTTGCGTCCATGGTTGGCCCAAAGCTGGTGGCCGCCAAGTCACGCTTCTGCGGGTGCTGTGTCGAAAGTTAGTGCTCTGGAGAAAGAGGCGAGCATCTTCACACAGTTGTAGCAATCGCTCATCATTATCATTACGGGAGTCTACACCATGTTGGCCGCCCAGATGAAGCTCATCAGAGGACAATTTTCCGACTTGGGCGTTTAAATCGCCAGCCAACACCACAGTATCCGTGCTTCTTCTGTAACGAAGGAGCTCGTGAAGTTGCTGATAGAAACCATCTTTTACCGATTCAGTGCTACAGTTTGTAGGGGCGTAAGCCGCAATCACAAACAGGCACCGTTTGTCCCCGCACGACTTCGTAGCACGGACCGAACCAGCTAATCTAACGGCGCACATCCTACTGTTTACTGGGATCCAATCAATCAGGGCAGCTTCAATCCGGGGACTCAAAATAATGCCGAAGCCAGCTTGACCGGCATTTGAAGCTGCATCATTGCCAGACAGGCGCAATGAGAATGTGCCGCCAGTGTTGCATGTGGGGGATCTCAGGGTAAGCACGGAGCTCGAATCTTGCAAGCGGGTTTCTGATAAACAGAAAATATCGATCGATAGGGTCTCTAGTGTGCGGGCAAGTGCTGCCTGTTGGCCAATCTGCAGCAAAGTGCGCACGTGGAGGCATGCCAGTCTTAGCGAGACGCGAGGACTCCAAAGGGAAACGGATGAACTGACGTTGTCCGCTTGATTGAACATGGACTTGTCGACTGGATTGGAGCGAGGCCCTGCGATTGTGTGTGATTTGAAATTAGAAGGCAAGCGTCTATTGGAGTAAGCTGGGGGAGGGCCAAGAATTGGGGGATTGAAAATGGGGGGGTATGAGTAAAGTTGGAGCGGGACGATAAGGATGAAGAAGCGCAAGGAGTATAAGAAGACGGGAAGGCCTGAGCAGTAGCATCCATACCCCTATCCACTCTGCTCGGTGCAGCAGATAGGGCGCCGTTTATTATCCTCTGCGACGGCCAGAGCATCAAGAAATTGTTGTAGGAAAAGTTCAGGCGATGCTAATCACAGACTAGTTTCCTCAGTATAACAGACAACAATGAATAGGCTGTGACGTTTGGGACATGCTACGTGTGCCCGATCACAATTTACTGAGGATGGATTTGTTTCGCCTACCGGATGTATGGCGGTGGACTTATCGATGTGGGCAAAAGTTGACTTGGCAACCGGAACTGCAATCACTGACAATTGGCTGGTTAGCCGAACAACCTCCTCATGGTGCCAGCTGGGTGGTTCGGGTTTAACCGTTCCTGCAAATAGTTCGGTGGCAGTGCTCCAGGACGTGGTGGGTTTCCGCCTGGCAGACTTTCTCTCTATAAAAAACCACAAATGTCTGCTTAACGATACTGAGACGCAGCGGTTGTGGCTTGCACCAACTAAAGTCACCGCCCCTTGCTTATTCGTTCAATCGTCTCAAACCCACAGACGTCAAACATCACTTAAGCACTGGCGACACATTCAAATACAAGCAAAGATATAGAAAAACATTCACAAAGCCAAACAGCACAGCTACGCACGCCTACAAGCACACATAAATAAATTCATGTAGCAACATATATGACAATCCTATTACAATATTGTACATTCCTTGATCACTTGTTGTACTCTTATCATGATCACGCTTGT